TCATCTTTTAAAGTGCATGATTTCTTTTATTCACACGTCAGATAATTTCATGTTTCAAATTTTAACAATTCACATAAATAGGAAGGGAATTTCAGGAATTTCATTTCTGCCTCCAAAGACTAAGCCCTACACATTTGATACCTTAAAAATATTCATATAAGCACATAATCTTCTTAAAAATGAACACTTTTATTGAAGAGAAAATAAGGAAATATTTGCTCAACCAATTTTTACGGAAGTAGAAATAAAATACAGGTGGAAGAGTAGGGACGGGAAGAGAAGAGGCAAAGAGGATTCTAACGCATGGAAAGGAGGGAAAAGAACGTGAAGCAGCAGTTAATAAAAGACTAAAACCTGGACATTCTATTTCTTAACTTTGGGCTCTATTCTCAGCTGAGATCAGAAGGAAATTTAGTCTGATATGCTCAGACAGAAACATATTTTATCCATTCACCAAACAAGAATGGCAGAAGTTTTTAATCCAAGGGAAATCAACAGCATGAATTAGTAATTAGGATATTAAGCTGAGATCGAGGCTGCAGGTTCCTCAAATCTGCCTCCTTTTTAGGACAAGTTTTTATCTTATTGAAAACAAATGGGAATGATCTCTAGGCTTTAACATTTGATTCCATTTCAGACTACCCTTTGTCTGTAACACGTATGTTTCTCTTCTGCTCACAAAAGTCATGCTTTTTCCTCACATCTTTAGAACTTGCTTTCCTTCATTAGCAAGGGAGTCCCTTCCTCACCTGCATCATTGGTTCCTCCAAACTAGTGTTATCCTTTGATGCTTTCTAGACCTTCACAGGAGCCATAGGTTTTTCCCGGGAGTTCTCTAAACTCTAAATTTAGATATATTCACCTAACTACAGACATTAAGGTTTCAAAGAATCTTCCTGATGAAATAAATATTAAGAAGTTACAGGTAAGAGTAGCTAGAATGACATGAATGGACAATTCTCTTCAGCAGTTGTCTCAAAGTGTGGTGTGTGGATTACCAGTATCAGCATCAAATGGGATTTTGTCAGAAATGCAAATTCCAGGGCTGGCCCGGTGGTGCACTGCTACAGTGAGCCACTTGGGAGCGCGCGGCACTCCCGCCGAGGGTTCGGATCCCACATACAGACCGGTTCCCGCTCACTGGCTGAGCGAGGTGCGGGCGCAGCACCGAGGTCTGCGATCCCGTTGCCGGTCCCAGTCCGGTACGGGCGCAACACTGAGGGTTGTGATCCATTGCTGGACACGAAAAAAGACAAAA